TTAGCACAGACTGTATGTGCCGTTAGCATAACTGTATGTGCTGTTAGCACAGACTGTATGTGCCGTTAGCATAACTGTGTGTGCCGTTAGCATAACTGTATGTGCCGTTAGCATAACTGTATGTGCTGTTAGCACAGACTGTATGTGCCGTTAGCACAGACTGTATGTATGTACATGGAGTGTCAATGATATTAGTAAGTGGAATTGTGGAGGATAATCAGTTGTGTGTAGCTCTGTGTAAACCTTTCCGTTTAAAGTGTTGAGATTAGAGTCTGATCCTTCTCTACACTTAAAGCTTGGGCACCTAACTTTTTGATCCAGATTTAATGCATAATGTTTGAAGGTAATACGTTGCGAATAAAGCAGACCATAAGATGTTTTTTCATCTTATTTGAAAGCATGTCGTCTGCAGACTCGGATAACGGAGCCCTGTGAGTCGCTATTTGACGCTTTGGTGCAGAGCTGTGTGTCTGCGGGGGTCCTCTGTGTGGATCTGAGGATGTGACAGGGGCCAGACATGCTAATGCTAATGCTAATGCTAAACTAGTGATGGACTTAGTTCGTCATAGTTTGACTGAAGGGTCATGACTGCAGAGACCTGTGTGTGTACATGTGTGTGTACATGTGTGTGTACATGTGTGTGTACATGTGTGTGTACATGTGTGTGTACATGTGTGTGTACGTGTGTGTGTACGTGTGTGTGTACATGTGTGTGTACATGTGTGTGTACATGTGTGTGTACATGTGTGTGTACATGTGTGTGTACATGTGTGTGTACATGTGTGTGTACATGTGTGTGTACATGTGTGTGTACATGTGTGTGTACGTGTGTGTACATGTGTGTGTACATGTGTGTGTACATGTGTGTGTACATGTGTGTGTACATGTGTGTGTACATGTGTGTGTACATGTGTGTGTACATGTGTGTGTACATGTGTGTGTACATGTGTGTGTACATGTGTGTGTACATGTGTGTGTACATGTGTGTGTACATGTTTGTAGTGCACATGTTTGTAGTGCACTTTAAACCGGTCCAAAACGTGTGTGAACTGAGTCTGGCTCCATCTCCACAAACCTGACTCGTACCACTCTCCTCTTTGTTTAGAAATGTGTCTATAGTGTTATTATTATCTATCAGTGTTTCCCACAGGTTTGAAGGCAATGTGTGGTGTTCGTCGGCGGGGGGGGGGGGGGGGGGGGAGTGGGGTACAGTGGTACAGTGGTAGAGGACAATCTTGAGGTCATGAATCCAGTGAAATTAGTCGCACACCTTTTTACAGTAATAAGTTACAGTAGATCAAAAGTGACATGTTTTGACTATTTTGGAGGTATTTTGGACCAAAATGGCTACTTTACCTCAATATTTCTCAATATTTCTACAGTAAAAGTGTCTGGTCTTTGGTACAGTGGTAGAAGGCAATGTTGAGGTCATGAATCCAGTGAAATCAGTTGCACACCTTTTTACAGTGAAAAGTTACAGTAGATCAAATGTGACATGTTTTGACCATTTTTAGGCTATTTTGGACCAAAATGGCTACTTTAAATCAATATTTCTACAGTAAAAGTGTCTGGTCTTTGGTACAGTGGTAGAGGACAATCTTGAGGTCATGAATCCAGTGAAATTAGTCGCACACCTTTTTACAGTAAAAAGTTACAGTAGATCAAAAGTGACATGTTTTGACTATTTTGGAGGTATTTTGGACCAAAATGGCTACTTTACCTCAATATTTCTCAATATTTCTACAGTAAAAGTTTCTGGTCTTTGGTACAGTGGCAGAGGGCAATAATAAGGTCATGAGTCAAGTGAAATTAGTCGCACACCCTTATTCCAGTAAATAGTTACAATACTTGAAAATTGCACTAGCGGACCAAATTGTGTACTTTATACATGTAAACAATAGAGTGGCTATCCTCCTGAGGACTCACAATCTGCCGGAGGAATCGTAGGGGGCTGGTGCTATGTGTGCCGGGTGGCATCTCTATAAGGTTTTAATCACAAAAACGTGTCTCCCTGACCCCAGCGCGCTTTCTGTTCGATAAAAATGGGTGACTCCGAAAGGACGTTCCGCTGTTACCGTAAGTTCTCAACAAAACGCGCACCGTCTTTTCCCCGATGCGGGCCGCATGTTCATAGAGCTGAAAGATGCGGGCCACTTTACCGCGGTAAATTAATAGACACAGCTGCTTACAGCGATGATCGCTGATGGAGACGGAGACACGCGGTGTGCACGAAGGGGAGGGGCTGTGTGTGTGTAGGTCTCTGTATGTGGGAGAGACGCGTAGCTTGAGTGAGAGTTACGAAGGGCCGCCACATTTTAAACCCCCCTCCCCGCTGTCAAATTGACCGCTGCGGCGGCACTAGACGATGCATGTTTTAAATAGCGTAACAAAAAAAATATATATATAATAATACGAAACGCAATTTGTGGCGGGCGGTCTCTAATCTGTGGCGGTGCGCCACAGATTAGTCTATGTGTGGGAAAAACACTGTCTATAGTGTGGCTTTAACTGTTTCTTTAAATGTTTGATATTGAAGATGTTTGAGTAGTGTCTGTTATGAGCTGGGGATGTTCAAGCCGTTAAAAAACATGTTTGTCTCTGCATAAAGTAATAGTAAAAATAAACCAGACCAAATCATGCTGACGACTTTGTATTTGACCATAGTCTGGGGATTATTGAATATGTCCGAATGACATTGAACCCTGGTGTTCAAGGAATATTATATTATATGAAATGTGCATTATTATATCCAATTAGGCTTATCCATGTATCTGTTACCACTATAATTTCTGGCAGAATAAACATAAATAACATTTCACTGTGAAGCAAAAACAGCTGCAGTACGCCTCCTGCTCCACAGGGGGGCGCTCTCAGTTGCCAGGTCCGCTTCAACAAACCAGGCCACAACATGCCGACGACTTTGTATTTGAAATCCTTTATTCTTCTGCGCACTTGTAGCAAAGATCCCTGTGAGTCACTATTTGATGCTTTGGGGTGAGTTCTGATTGGTCGAAAAAGCCGAGGCCAAAGATTCATGATGTGAAATCTAGTGTTGGAACCGAACTGTTGTGAGGGCGAGAATCTCCTGCGTGAAAGTGGCCCTTCTTTAGCTCCTGAATGTTTCCTTGTTTGGGATTGTTTTGTTCTCTCCCATTTGTACCTGTGGTCACATAACGATGGTCCCTGTGCTCCTCTCTCCACAGATCTGCTTCCGTCGCTCGGATCTGCTCCAAAGACGACTCCAAATGCAACTGTGGGATGAGGTAGTAGGTTGTATAGTTTTAGGGTCACACCCGCACTCGGAGATAACTATTCAACCTACTGTCTTTCTCAAAGTGCTAAAGCCGTGTCCGCCCTGCTCCTCCTGCTGCTCCTCCTGCTCCTGCTCCTGCTCCTCCTGCTCCTCCTCCTGCTCCTCCTGCTCCTCCTCCTCCTCCCGCTGTGTGTGGGGTGAGGTAGTAGATTGTATAGTTGTAGGGTCGTGATTTGCCCTGATTTGGAGATGACTATGCACTCTACTGCCTTCCCCGCGCACAGACACGTCCTCCTGACATTCTACTCGTAAAGTGTCGGACGTCAATAATAACACGGTGAGCACTTTCTCTGCTCGTGCTGACGGCTAATGCTAACGTCTGAGTTAGCATTAGCTAATTTATTAGCTGATGTGTTTGTAATGATGCGTACACCTGTGTTTGCATGTTCTCTCTGTCCTGAGCTGATTCTGTGTCATTCAAGCAGCAATAAGTCATTGTTAAAGGGCCCTAATCTGTCATCGTTAAAGGGCCCTAATCTGTCATCGTTAAAGGGCCCTAATCTGTCATCGTTAAAGGGCCCTAATCTGTCATCGTTAAAGGGCCCTAATCTGTCATCGTTAAAGGGCCCTAATCTGTCATCGTTAAAGGGCCCTAATCTGTCATCGTTAAAGGGCCCTAATCTGTCATCGTTAAAGGGCCCTAATCTGTCCTCATTAAAGAGCCCTAATCTCCTAATCTGTCCTTGTTAAAGGGCCCTAATCTGTCCTCATTAAAGGGCCCTAATCTGTCATCATTAAAGGGCCCTAATCTGTCATCATTAAAGGGCCCTAATCTGTCATCATTAAAGGGCCCTAATCTGTCATCATTAAAGGGCCCTAATCTGTCGTCATTAAAGGGCCCTAATCTGTCATAATAATAATCTGTTCTTTTCCAATCCTTCTTTAACTGATAACAGAAGTTCAGAGATATTTGAATTTCTAAATTACTTTTCCAGCCCCTAAATCTTATAGTTTTCATTTCGATGTCCCGCCCTCCACCGTTTCACCAATCAGAAAGTCCGCAGTAAGGCTGCAGTACCACTGTTGACCACATGTTTACAGACTGCTCTGTTCCTGATGTTTAAAGTTTGTAAAGTTGGAGAAAATATGAAAGTAACTTTTTACTTTAATAAAAGTTTATTCAGCGTCACATTTGTGTTTTTAACTGTTACATCTGAGCACAGGGACTATTAATGACTACAGGTACAACATCAGGACCATTACTGACTACAGGTACAGCGTCAGGACCATTACTGACTACAGGTACAGCGTCAGGACCATCACTGACTACAGGTACAGCGTCAGGACCATTACTGACTACAGGTACAGCGTCAGGACCATTACTGACTACAGGTACAGCGTCAGGACCATTACTGACTACAGGTACAGCGTCAGGACCATTACTGACTACAGGTACAGCGTCAGGACCATTACTGACTACAGGTACATCATCAGGACCATTACTGACTACAGGTACAGCATTAGGACCATTACTGACTACAGGTACAGCGTCAGGACCATTACTGACTACAGGTACATCATCAGGACCATTACTGACTACAGGTACATCATCAGGACCATTACTGACTACAGGTACAGCGTCAGGACCATTACTGCCTACAGGTACAGCGTCAGGACCATTACTGACTACAGGTACAGCGTCAGGACCATTACTGACTACAGGTACAGCGTCAGGACCATTACTGACTACAGGTACAGCGTCAGGACCATTACTGACTACAGGTACAGCGTCAGGACCATTACTGACTACAGGTACATCATCAGGACCATTACTGACTACAGGTACAGCATTAGGACCATTACTGACTACAGGTACAGCGTCAGGACCATTACTGACTACAGGTACATCATCAGGACCATTACTGACTACAGGTACATCATCAGGACCATTACTGACTACAGGTACAGCGTCAGGACCATTACTGACTACAGGTACAGCGTCAGGACCATGACTGACTACAGGTACAGCGTCAGGACCATGACTGACTACAGGTACAGCGTCAGGACCATTACTGACTACAGGTACAGCGTCAGGACCATTACTGACTACAGGTACAGCGTCAGGACCATGACTGACTACAGGTACAGCGTCAGGACCATTACTGACTACAGGTACAGCGTCAGGACCATCACTGACTACAGGTACAGCGTCAGGACCATTACTGACTACAGGTACAGCGTCAGGACCATTACTGACTACAGGTACAGCGTCAGGACCATTAATGACTACAGGTACAGCATCAGGACCATTACTGACTACAGGTACATCATCAGGACCATTACTGACTACAGGTACAGCGTCAGGACCATTACTGACTACAGGTACAGCATCAGGACCATTACTGACTACAGGTACAGCGTCAGGACCATCACTGACTACAGGTACAGCGTCAGGACCATCACTAACTACAGGTACAGCGTCAGGACCATCACTGACTACAGGTACAGCGTCAGGACCATCACTAACTACAGGTACAGCGTCAGGACCATCACTGACTACAGGTACAGCGTCAGGACCATCACTGACTACAGGTACAGCGTCAGGACCATCACTAACTACAGGTACAGCGTCAGGACCATCACTGACTACAGGTACAGCGTCAGGACCATTACTGACTACAGGTACAGCATTAGGACCATTACTGACTACAGGTACATCATCAGGACCATTACTGACTACAGGTACATCATCAGGACCATTACTGACTACAGGTACAACATCAGGACCATTACTGACTACAGGTACAACATCAGGACCATTACTGACTACAGGTACAGCATTAGGACCATTACTGACTACAGGTACATCATCAGGACCATTACTGACTACAGGTACAGCATTAGGACCATTACTGACTACAGGTACAGCGTCAGGACCATTACTGACTACAGGTACAGCGTCAGGACCATTACTGACTACAGGTACAGCGTCAGGACCATTACTGACTACAGGTACATCATCAGGACCATTACTGACTACAGGTACAGCATTAGGACCATTACTGACTACAGGTACATCATCAGGACCATTACTGACTACAGGTACAGCGTCAGGACCATTACTGACTACAGGTACATCATCAGGACCATTACTGACTACAGGTACAGCGTCAGGACCATTACTGACTACAGGTACAGCGTCAGGACCATTACTGACTACAGGTACATCATCAGGACCATTACTCACTACAGGTACAGCGTCAGGACCATCACTGACTACAGGTACAGCGTCAGGACCATTAATGACTACAGGTACATCATCAGGACCATTACTGACTACAGGTACAGCGCCAGGACCATCACTTACTACAGGTACAGCGTCAGGACCATCACTAACTACAGGTACAGCGTCAGGACCATCACTGACTACAGGTACAGCATCAGGACCATTACTGACTACAGGTACAGCGTCAGGACCATTACTGACTACAGGTACAGCATCAGGACCATTACTGACTACAGGTACAGCATCAGGACCATTACTGACTACAGGTACAGCGTCAGGACCATTACTGACTACAGGTACAGCGTCAGGACCATCATTGACTACAGGTACAGCGTCAGTACCATCACTGACTACAGGTACAGCGTCAGGACCATCATTGACTACAGGTACAGCGTCAGTACCATCACTGACTACAGGTACAGCGTCAGGACCATTACTGACTACAGGTACAGCGTCAGGACCATGACTGACTACAGGTACAGCATTAGGACCATTACTGACTACAGGTACAGCGTCAGGACCATTACTGACTACAGGTACAGCGTCAGGACCATTACTGACTACAGGTACAACATCAGGACCATTACTGACTACAGGTACAGCGTCAGGACCATTACTGACTACAGGTACAGCGTCAGGACCATTACTGACTACAGGTACAGCGTCAGGACCATTACTGACTACAGGTACATCATCAGGACCATTACTGACTACAGGTACAACATCAGGACCATTACTGACTACTTCTTTTTCTTCATGGTTCAGTTTTTGAAATGAATAAATATATTTTATTATATTATTAATTATAATATTATATATTGAAGTAATTTGTGTTTTATTTATTATTTAATTGTTGCTGAAGTTTATCACCAGTTGTTTTGCCAAAATGAACAAACGATGAAAAATTCTGTTATTTTTCTCCTATTATTGTTATTTTGTCCTCCTTCACTGAGTTCTTTTCATGACCTGCTGTAGACCCGCACCAGGCTGTGAAAGGGCCGGACCTGAACCCAGTCCAGATGGTTTTGGACCTGAACCCAGTCCAGATGGTTTTGGACCTGAACCCAGTCCAGAAGCAGCTCATCCAGAGAATGCCAAGAGTGAAGCAGTATCAGAGCAAAAGGAGCTACTTTGAAGAACCAGAATATAACACATATTTACACTTGGTTCATACTTTTTTACTACGGACATAATTCACATGAGTTCATCATAGGTTTGAGACCCTCAGTGTCAATCTACAGTTTTATAATCATGAAAATAAAAAAAACTCTTTGAATGAGAAGGTGTGTCCAAACTTTTGCTCTGTGTTGTACTTCGCAAAGTGAATCATCTCCACTGGATCTTTTCACTTGAACTTTCCACAACTGCCCACAGGGGGCGCTAACGCTCTGCTGCTGCGGTTCAACCTGTAGCACAGACGCTGACCCTGTAGCACAGACACTGACCCTGTAGCACAGACACTGACCCTGTAAGCACAGACACTGACCCTGTAGCACAGACGCTGACCCTGTAGCACAGACGCTGACCCTGTAGCACAGACACTGACCCTGTAGCACAGACACTGAGCCTGTAGCACAGACACTGACCCTGTAGCACAGACACTGACCCTGTAGCACAGACACTGAGCCTGTAGCACAGACACTGACCCTGTAGCACAGACGCTGACCCTGTAGCACAGACACTGACCCTGTAGCACAGACACTGAGCCTGTAGCACAGACACTGACCCTGTAGCACAGACACTGACCCTGTAGCACAGACGCTGACCCTGTAGCACAGACGCTGACCCTGTAGCACAGACACTGACCCTGTAGCACAGACACTGACCCTGTAGCACAGACGCTGACCCTGTAGCACAGACACTGACCCTGTAGCACAGACACTGACCCTGTAGCACAGACACTGACCCTGTAGCACAGACACTGACCCTGTAGCACAAACACTGACCCTGTAGCACAGACACTGAGCCTGTAGCACAGACACTGAGCCTGTAAAAGCTTTGTTCTGTTCTTAAGATAATGTTCATGTTTCTCATGAGCGGAGCACACACAGTGTGTATATTTATATAATTATACACGCACATATATACACACACATACACACATATATACACACACATACACACATATATACACACACATATATACACACACATACACACATATATATACATACACATATATACACACACATATATATACACACACACACATACATACATATAGTACACATACACATATAGTACAGGGTTCCACAGAGTAACAGACGGAGGTGATGGAGAGAGTGAGGACCACGTGGGTGGAGCCAGAGCCGCATAAAAGGTGATGATCCCGAAGGACGCGCTAGAGCCATGAGCCTCAGCTCCGGGGCCCAGAGAGTACCGCACTGACGCACCGGGGCCCAGAGAGTACCGCACTGACGCACCGGGGCCCAGAGAGTACCGCACTGACGCACCGGGGCCCAGAAAGTACCGCACTGACGCACCGGGGCCCAGAGAGTACCGCACTGACGCACCGGGGCCCAGAGAGTACCGCACTGACGCACACGGACCCAGAGAGTACCGCACTGACGCACACGGACCCAGAGAGTACCGCACTGACGCACACGCACACGCACTGCACCTGTGGAGACCTCCCTCTGCGCCAATGCCCCGCTCCAACCGCACTCCGTCCGCGCGCGAACAGATGACCCCCGCACGCGCCCGCGGACAGCACGAGCCTTACGCGCTCCCCCGGGTCCCGGTCCTCAGGGTCCCGGACACGCTCCAGTAAAAAGCCCCGGAGACAGGACAGGACCATGAAGAGGAAAAGTCGCCGATGGATTTTTCACTTTTTCTTGTGTCTTGGAATAATTTATCTGAAAATAGGGTGAGTAGTGTACCTATGAGCCTCCTGCTGGGACCCTGAGGAGCACAGGGACTGGTCTCCTGCTGGGACTCTGAGGAGCACAGGGACTGGCCTCCTGTTGGGACTCTGAGGAGCACAGGGACTGGCCTCTTGCTGGTCCCAGAGTCAGGACTCGACATAAAGAGGCAGTGTTTCAGATTCATGCTGAAACCTGGAACAGTCTTCCTGAAAACCTGAGACAGACTTCTTCTCTGACGATGTTCAAACTCAGGTTAAAACACTTTTAAAAACACTTCTGTTTCTGCAACAAATGAAGGATTTTATCTTTTCTCTTTTTAACGTTCTGTGAGTATTTATGATCAGTTTTTCTCTGACGTCTCCGTGAACTGTGCTAAACAGATAAATACGACACAAAAACAACACATTTACATAAAGTAAGAATTCTACTCTCAGTGTTCACCTGGAAGCTGCGATCACAGGGACAGAGCACAGGGACAGAGCACAGGGACAGAGAGCACAGGGACAGAGCACAGGGACAGAGAGCACAGGGACAGATCCCAGGGACAGAGCACAGGGACAGAGCACAGGGAGAGAGCACAGGGACAGAGCACAGGGACAGAGCACAGGGACAGAGCACAGGGAGAGAGCACAGGGACAGAGCACAGTCCATTTGTTTTATCGTCACTTTTTTCACATTTATAAAAACTGAAGTAATCTGTTGTTGTTTATTTGTGTGGCACAGTTCAGCACGACTCAGAAACAAAACAAACAACAACCAGAGGTTAAACCATAAATAATCACAACATTATAAAGAATCAAGTTAAAATCCTTCAGTTGTTGCAGAAACAAAACTGTTGTAACCTGGATTTGAACATTATCAGAGAAGAATCTGTCTCATGTTTTCAGGAAGATTGTTCTGACTCTGTCAGCAGGGGACTAATGTAAGAGGACTTCAGGACAGAGACCTGAGACCAGGACTAATGTGAGAGGACTTCAGGACAGAGACCTGAGACCAGGACTAATGTGAGAGGACTTCAGGACAGAAACCTGAGACCAGGACTAATGTGAGAGGACTTCAGGACAGAGACCTGAGACCAGGGCTAATGTGAGAGGACTTCAGGACAGACCTGAGACCAGGACTAATGTGAGAGGACTTCAGGACAGAGACCTGAGACCAGGACTAATGTGAGAGGACTTCAGGACAGAGACCTGAGACCAGGACTAATGTGAGAGGACTTCAGGACAGAGACCTGAGACCAGGACTAATGTGAGAGGACTTCAGGACAGAGACCTGAGACCAGGACTAATGTGAGAGGACTTCAGGACAGAGACCTGAGACCAGGACTAATGTGAGAGGACTTCAGGACAGAGACCTGAGACCAGGACTAATGTGAGAGGACTTCAGGACAGAGACCTGAGACCAGGACTAATGTGAGAGGACTTCAGGACAGAGACCTGAGACCAGGACTAATGTGAGAGGACTTCAGGACAGAGACCTGAGACCAGGACTAATGTGAGAGGACTTCAGGACAGAGACCTGAGACCAGGACTAATGTGTCTTCTGCTCCGCAGGGGGCTGTCGTCCGTGGTGGCTCTCGGCGCCAGTATCATCTGTAACAAGATCCCGGGTTTGGCGCCGCGGCAGAGAACCATCTGTCAGAGTCGGCCGGACGCCATCATTGTGGTCGGCGAAGGCGTCCAGAGGAGCCTCCACGAGTGTCAGTTCCAGTTCCGCCACAGCCGCTGGAACTGCTCTGCTCTGGGAGAGAGGACGGCGTTCGGCAAAGAGCTGCGCGTCGGTACGACACACACTCACCCTCTCACAACAAAACTCACACACTCACCCTCTCACAACAAAACTCACACACTCACCCTCTCACAACAACACTCACACACTCACCCTCTCACAACAAAACTCACACACTCACCCTCTCACAATAACACTCACCCTCTCACAACAAAACTCACACACTCACCCTCTCACAACAACACTCACACTCTCACAACAACACTCACACTCTCACAACAACACTCACACTCTCACAACAACACTCACACTCTCACAACAACACTCACCCTCTCACAACAACACTCACCCTCTCACAACAACACTCACCCTCTCACAACAACACTCACACTCTCACAACAACACTCACACTCTCACAACAACACTCACCCTCTCACAATAACACTCACCCTCTCACAATAACACTCACCCTCTCACAATAACACTCACACACTCACCCTCTCACAATAACACTCACACACTCACCCTCTCACAATAACACTCACACACTCACCCTCTCACAATAACACTCACACACTCACAACAACACTCACACTCTCACATGTTCACACTCACACACGTTCACACTCTCACTCGCTCACATGTTCACACTCTCACATGTTCACACTCACACACGTTCACACTCTCACTCACACGTTCACACTCACAAGTTAACACACACACACAATCACACACACACACACACACACACACACACACGTTCAGACTCTCACACGTTCACACACACACACACACACACACGTTCAGACTCTCACACGTTCACACACACACACACACACACACACACACGTTCAGACTCTCACACGTTCACACACACACGTTCAGACTCTCACACGTTCACACACACACACACGTTCAGACTCTCACACGTTCACACACACGTTCAGACACTCACACATTCACACTCACACGTTTACGCTCTCACACGTTCACACTCTCACACTCACAGCTTCAGACTCTCACACGTTCACACTCACACGTCCACTCTCTCACTCTCACATGTTCACACTGTTGCTCACACACGTTCAAACTCTCACACGTTCACACTCACATGTTCACACATTCACGCTCTCACACTCTCACATGTTCACTCTCGCACTGTTCCCTTAGCTGTCCTCAGTTCTACTGCCTGTTGTTCTATCACCTGCCCTCATGTGTTCATGTGTCCAAGGGTCCATGTGTTCATGTGTTCATGTGTTCATGTGCTCATGTGCTCATGTGTCCATGTGCTCATGTGCTCATGTGCTCATGTGCTCATATGCTCATGTGTTCATGTGTTCATAATGTTCATGTGTTCATGTGTTCATGTGTTCATGTGCCCATGTGTCCATGTGCTCATATGCTCATGTGTTCATGTGTGCATGTGTTCATAATGTTCATATGTCCATGTGTTCATGTGTTCATGTTCTCATGTTCTCATGTGTTCATGTGGTCATGTGCTCATGTGTCCATGTGTTCATGTGCCCATGAGCTCATGTGTTCATGTGGTCATGTGTTCATGTGTTCATGTGCTCATGTGCTCATGTGCCCATGTGTCCATGTGGTCATGTGTTCATGTGTTAACAGACACACACACAATCACACACACACACGTTCAGACTCACACACGTTCACACGTTCACACACACACACACGTTCAGACTCTCACACTTTCACACACACACACACACACACACACGTTCAGACTCTCACACGTTCACACACACACACACACGTTCAGACTCTCACACGTTCACACACACACACACACACGTTCAGACTCTCACACGTTCACACACACACACACACGTTCAGACTCTCACACGTTCACACACACACGTTCAGACTCTCACACGTTCACACACACACACACGTTCAGACTCTCACACGTTCACACACACACACACACGTTCAGACTCTCACACGTTCACACGTTCACACACACACACACGTTCAGACTCTCACACGTTCACACATACACACACACACACACGTTCAGACTCTCACACGTTCACACACACACACACACGTTCAGACTCTCACACGTTCACACACACACGTTCAGACTCTCACACGTTCACACTCACATGTTCACACATTCACGCTCTCACACTCTCACATGTTCACTCTCGCACTGTTCCCTTAGCTGTCCTCAGTTCTACTGCCTGTTGTTCTATCACCTGCCCTCATGTGTTCATGTGTCCAAGGGTCCATGTGTTCATGTGTTCATAATGTTCATGTGTTCATATGTCCATGTGTTCATGTGTTCATGTGCTCATGTGCCCATGTGCCCATGTGTCCATGTGCTCATATGCTCATGTGTTCATGTGTTCATAATGTTCATATGTCCATGTGTTCATGTGTTCATGTGCTCATGTTCTCATGTTCTCATGTGTTCATGTGTTCATGTGGTCATGTGCTCATGTGTCCATGTGTTCATGTGCCCATGTGCTCATGTGTTCATGTGGTCATCTGTTCATGTGTTCATGTGCTCATGTGCCCATGTGTCCATGTGGTTATGTGTTCATGTGTTAACAGACACACACACAATCACACACACACACGTTCAGACTCACACACGTTCACACACACACACACACACACACGTTCAGACTCTCACACGTTCACACACACACACACACACGTTCAGACTCTCACACGTTCACACACACACACACACGTTCAGACTCTCACACGTTCAGACACACACACACACACACACACACACACACGTTCAGACTCTCACACGTTCACACACACACACACACATTCAGACTCTCACACGTTCACACGTTCACACACACACACACGTTCAGACTCTCACACGTTCACACACACACACACACGTTCAGACTCTCACACGTTCACACACACACACACACACACACGTTCAGACTCTCACACGTTCACACACACACGTTCAGACTCTCACACGTTCACACACACACACACGTTCAGACTCTCACACGTTCACACACACGTTCAGACACTCACACATTCACACTCACACGTTTACGCTCTCACACGTTCACACTCTCACACTCACAGCTTCAGACTCTCACACGTTCACACTCACACGTCCACTCTCTCACTCTCACATGTTCACACTGTCGCTCACACACGTTCAAACTCTCACACGTTCACACTCACATGTTCACACATTCACGCTCTCACACTCTCACATGTTCACTCTCGCACTGTTCCCTTAGCTGTCCTCAGTTCTACGCCCTGTTGTTCTATCACCTGCCCTCATGTGTTCATGTGTCCAAGGGTCCATGTGTTCATGTGTTCATGTGTTCATGTGTTCATGTGCTCATGTGCTCATGTGTCCATGTGCTCATGTGCTCATGTGCTCATGTGCTCATATGCTCATGTGTTCATGTGTTCATAATGTTCATGTGTTCATATGTCCATGTGTTCATATGTTCATGTGCTCATGTGCCCATGTGTCCATGTGCTCATATGCTCATGTGTTCTTGTGTTCATGTGTTCATGTGTTCATGTGGTCATGTGCTCATGTGTCCATGTGTTCATGTGCCCATGTGCTCATGTGGTCATGTGGTCATGTGTTCATGTGTTCATGTGCTCATGTGCCCATGTGTCCATGTGGTCATGTGTTCATGTGTTCATGTGCTCATGTGCCCATGTGTCCATGTGGTCATGTGCTCATATGCTCATGTGTCCATATGTTCATGTGCCCATGTGCTCATGTGGTCATGTGGTCATGTGTTCATGTGTTCATGTGCTCATGTGCTCATGTGCCCATATGCCCATGTGTCCATGTGGTCATGTGTTCATGTGTTCATGTGCTCATGTGTCCATGTGTTCATGTGCCCATGTGCTCATGTGCTCATGTGGTCATGTGTTCATGTGTTCATGTGTTCATGTGCTCATGTGCCCATGTGTCCATGTGGTCATGTGCTCATGTGCTCATGTGGCCATGTGCTCATGTGGCCATGTGTTCATGTGTTCATGTGCCAATGTGTCCATGTGTCCATGTGGTCATGTGTTCATGTGTTCATGTGTTCATGTGTTCATGTGCTCATGTGCCCATGTGTCCATGTGTCTATGTGGTCATGTGGTCATGTGCTCATGTGTTCATGTGGTCATGTGCTCATGTGCTCATGTGCTCATATGCTCATGTGGTCATGTGCTCATATGGTCATGTGTTCATGTGGTCATGTGTTCATGTGTGACATTAGACTCTGTCCCATATAACTCTCTTCTTCGTTGATGATAAAGTGAGAAACCAAACAATTCATTCCTGTGAAATTATAAACATCTTCTGCTTCTTCCGCTCCTCCCCCTGTGAGCCCGACACCCCCCACCCTCACCCTCACCCCCACCCTCACCTGTGTTACAGACACACAACATTACAGTCTGTTGTGTAATGCAGCACTAACACATGTGCTTCACTGTTGTTCAGTTTATATACATATATACATATATGTATATATGTATGTATATATATATATATATATATATATATATATATATATATATATATATATATATATATATATATATATATATATATATATATATATATATATATATGTATTATGTATGTATTGTATAACATGAAGTTTGCTTCGTTCAGCGATGTCTAGACTTATGGATAAATTCCTCAATAGTGAATGAATGGAAAGAACGTGAACCGACACGAGGAAGAGTTCACCTCCAGGCGAGAGACTGAGGCATGTGGCTCAGGAGACACACAACCAGGACTGAGACACACACACACAGACACACACACACACGCAGACACACACACATTTTCTTGAAGATATTTTTGAATAAAACTGGTCAGAGAGAGGGGAGAGCAGGTCGGTGGATCCACTGAACTCCTGGCTCCATTGTTGAATGTAATCAGAGCAGAACACTGATAACAGCAGGACCCTCCTCCTGCTGCTGCTGCTACTGCTGCTGCTGCTACTGCTGCTGCTGCTGCTGCTACTGCTGCTGCTGCTGCTGCTGCTGCTGCTGCTGCTGCTGCTGCTGCTGCTGCTGCTGCTGCTGCTGCTGCTACTGCTACTGCTGCTGCTGCTGCTGCTGCTGCTGGGACCTGTATCTTTCTGATTAACACATGTGACATGTGTGAACCCTCTTTGTTTTACCACATTTCAGATTCACAGTAAAGTATTTGTGCCTCACAGCAAGAAGGTCCTGGATTCGATTCCCCTACCGCTTTAGTGGCAGTTTCCCCTACCACTAAAACATGTACAATAGGTCTGAAGGTAGTGATTGAATGGATGGTGTTTGGTCGGAGGCTTTGATGGACCAGTATCAGGCATCTCGCTTCCGTCACTATGTGCAGAGACTGGAACAATGTCTGACTCTGTAAAATGGCAGAAGGAGAAGGACACACGCAAAAGACACAGGTCCACGGTCCTCTGGTCGGACACAGGTCCACGGTCCTCTGGTCGGACACAGGTCCACAGTCCTCTGGTCGGACACAGGTCCACAGTCCTCTGGTCAGACAGTCTCTCAACTCGTTTGAAACGCCTGTTGTGTAATGCTCCCTCAGACAGAGATGGATCAGTCTTGGCGCCTGGTGTTCATGTGTTTGATGGTTCTGCAGCTGTGCTTGGTATGTGAGGAGGCTGTGGTGAAATACGACTGTAATCATTGTGTTTTTGTGTGTTTATTTGTGTTGCAGGCAGTAAAGAGGCTGCGTTCACATACGCCATCATCTCTGCGGGCGTGGCCCACGCGGTCACAGCTGCCTGCACCCAGGGTGCGCTGAGCGGCTGTGGCTGCGACAAGGACAAACAGGGCTTCTACAACCAGGAGGAGGGGCCGAGGTGGGGGGGCTATAACCAGGAAGAGGGCTGGAAGTGGGGCGGCTGCTCCGCCGACGTCAGCTTCGGCCTCAGCTTCTCTCAGGTGTTCGTGGACGCACGGGAGGTCAAGCAGAACGCACGCACCCTCATGAACCTGCACAACAACCACGTGGGCCGCAAGGTGGGCGTCGACAACCACTGACATATGACCATGTGACTTTTATATAACTATAAGTTCATCTATGATGACTCACCCACAGCGCCAACATGTGGTTATTCTACTAATGACAACCTCCTGTCGTCAGATCTTTGAATGAAGTGGTTTAAACTTCAGAGATTCGATCTCACGTATGATGATGATGATGAGGATGATGATGATTATGATTATGATGGTGATGGTGATAATGATGAAGGTGAAGGTGATGATAATGATAATGATAATGATGAAGGTGATGATGATGGTGATGATGATGGTAATGATGAAGGTGGTGATGATGATAATGATGAAGGCGAAGGTGATGATGATGGTGATGATGATGGTGGTGGTGATGATGAAGGTGATGATGATGATGATGAAGGTAATGATGACGATGGTGGTGATGATGATGATGGTGATGATGAAGGTGATGATGATGGTGGTGATGATGAAGGTGATGATGATGATGGTGATGATGAAGGTAATGATGACGATGGTGGTGATGATGAAGGTGATGATGATGGTGGTGATGATGAAGGTGATGATGATGGTGATGATGAAGGTGATGATGATGGTGATGATGACGAAGGTGATGATGATGAAGGTGATGATGATGATGACGAAGGTGATGATGATGAAGGTGATGATGACGATGGTGAAGGTGGTGATGATGATGGTAATGATGATGGTGGTGAAGGTGATGATGACGAAGGTGATGATGGTGATGATGACGAAGGTGATGATGAAGGTGATGATGGTGATGATGATGAAGGTGGTGATGATGATAATGATGAAGGTGATGATGATGATGATAATGATGAAGGTGATGATGATGGTGATGATGATGGTAATGATGAAGGTGGTGATGATGATGGTAATGATGAAGGTGATGATGATGATGGTGATGATGAAGGTGATGATGGTGATGGTGATGATGGTGATGGTGATGATGGTGATGATGAAGGTGATGATGATGATGATGATGATGGTGATGATGAAGGTAATGATGATGGTGGTGATGATGAAGGTGATGATGATGGTGATGATGAAGGTGATGATGATGATGATGGTGATGATGAAGGTGATGATGATGATGATGACGAAGGTGATGATGATGATGACGAAGGTGATGATGATGATGGTGAAGGTGGTGATGATGATGGTGGTGAAGGTGGTGATGATGATGGTAATGATGATGGTGATGAAGGTGATGATGATGATGACGAAGGTGATGATGAAGGTGATGATGATGATGATGACGAAGGTGATGATGATGAAGGTGATGATGATGATGGTGAAGGTGGTGATGATGTAATGATGATGATGATGGTGATGATGAAGGTGATGATGATGAAGGTGATGATGATGATGGTGACGAAGGTGATGATGATGGTGATGAAGATGATGGTGATGATGATGGTAATGATGAAGGTGGTGATGATGATGGTGATGATGAAGGTGGTGATGATGAAAGTGATGATGATGATGAAGGTGATGATGATGATGATGACGAAGGTGATGATGATGAAGGTGATGATGATGATGAGGGTGATGATGATGATGATGAAGGTGATGATGATTATGATAATGATGGTGATGAAGGTGATGAAGGTGGTGATGATTATGGTGATGAAGGTGGTGATGATGATGGTGATGATGATGACGATGATGGTGGGGATGATGATGACGATGATGGTGGTGATGATGATGACGATGATGATGAAGGTGATGATGGTGGTGATGATGAAAGTGATGATGGTGATGGTGATGATGATGGTGATGATGAAAGTGATGACGATGATGGTGGTGATGATGATGACGATGATGATGAAGGTGATGATGGTGGTGATGATGAAAGTGATAATGGTGATGGTGATGATGGTGATGATGAAGGTGATGATGATGTTGAAGGTGATGATGATGACGATGATGGTGGTGATGATGGTGGTGATGATGAAAGTGATGATGGTGATGGTGATGATGGTGGTGATGATGAAAGTGATGACGATGATGGTGGTGATGATGAAAGTGATGATGGTGATGGTGATGATGAAGGTGATGGTGATGATGGTGGTGATGATGAAAGTGATGATGATGAAGGTGATGATGATGAAGGTGATGATGATGATGGTGATGGTGATGATGATGATGATGATGATGAAGGTGATGATGATGATGAAGGTGATGATGATGATGATGAAGGTGATGATGATGATGATGTGATGATGAAGGTTATGATGATGATGACGATGAAGGTGATGATGATGTTATGATGACGAAGGTGATGATGACGAAGGTGATGAGGATGACAATGACGATGATGATGATGAAGGTGACGATGACGATGATGAAGCTGATCCGTGTGTTGCAGATGCTGGAGCAGACCATGCGTCTGGAGTGTAAGTGCCACGGCGTGTCGGGGTCCTGCACCACGAAGACCTGCTGGACGACGCTGCCAAAGCTGCGACAGTTGGGGTCCCTGCTGAAGGAGAAGTACGAGCACGCCGTGCACGTGGAGCCGGTGCGAGCGAGCCGCAACAAGAGGCCCACGTTCCTGAAGATCAAGAAGCCTCAGTCGTATCAAAAACCTGCGGACACCGAGCTGGTGTTCATCGACAAGTCTCCAAACTACTGCGAGGCCGACGCTGTGAGCGGCAGCCTGGGCACGCAGGGGCGGCTCTGCAACAGGACGGGTCTTCAGCCCAACAGCTGCGACCTCATGTGCTGTGGGCGGGGCTACAACACACACCAGTACTCACGCGTGTGGCAGTGCAACTGCAAGTTCCTCTGGTGCTGCCATGTTAAGTGCAACACCTGCAGCGAGAGGACCCAGGTATACACCTGCAAATAGAGACCTGCAGCCAGAGGACCCAGGTCTACACCTGCAGCCAGAGGACCCAGGTCTACACCTGCAAATAGAGACCTGCAGCCAGAGGACCCAGGTCTACACCTGCAGCCAGAGGACCCAGGTCTACACCTGCAGCCAGAGGACCCAGGTCTACACCTGCAAATAGAGACCTGCAGCCAGAAGACCCAGGTCTACACCTGCAAATAGAGACCTGCAGCCAGAGGACCCAAGTCTACACCTGCAAATAGAAACCTGCAGCCAGAGGACCCAGGTCTACACCTGCAGCCAGAGGACCTAGGTCTACACCTGCAAATAGAGACCTGCAGCGAGAGGACCCAGGTCTACACCTGCAGCCAGAAGACCCAGTCTCTGTCAGAACGTTTTCCGACAGACGCAGGAACAGCCTTCAGACCAGGACCCACCTATCTTTCCTGAACATTAAAGCAAAAGGAGAAGTTCACTGGTCTCAGAGTTTGACCTCACAGTTTGACCTCACAGTTGGACCTCAGAGTTGGACCTCAGAGTTGGACGTCTGGAGCTGCAGAGTCCGATGCCTTTTGTGAAAACTGTAACTGTCTTAGTTTGTTATTTATTGTGTAAAAACTACTGACTAGTGTCTTGGATAAAATCTTACCCTCGTTGCCATGGAGACATGTTGGCACCATGGAAGTCATGTGTTTGTGATGGAAAGTCCGCTGCTAAACGTAAAAGTTTCTGTGGGTCTTCACATTTAGCAGTAAACGCGGATTTGATTCTCTGTCGTTTTATTTTATTTGATAAAAGATTATTTTTCTATTTGTGTTTATTTATTTGAATCCACATCAGCCTTAACCTTAAAGACCTTCCAGGTCCCTGAAGTCACACACTGTTACTCTGAACACCTCGATATATATATATATATATATGTATATATATATATATACATATATATATATATATATATATTATATATAAATTAGGGATGCACTGATCTTTTAATTTCTGATACCGATATTGATGCTTTATAACTATTTTCCTGCAAGTCACTGTAAACTTTGTTGGTCGTTATCTTCCAATATACTGTATGTCTGTATTTTTTACATCAAAGTCAATCATCACAGAGAGTATCGACCGATATCATCAAACGATACCTGGACCAACAATATTTCCAATATTGGCTCCAATATCGCACTCTGATATCGTATCAGTGCATCCCTATGTATAAGTATTATTATTATATAATATGTTCATAATTATTAAATATCTTTTCATGTAATCCTCTGGCCTCAGAGATAAACTGTGATTGTCCAAAATGTCAACACTTTGCATCGTTTCTGATCAAATAAAAACCACTAACACTGTCCCTCCTGGTGTGGCTTAATGTGTCTGGACCAGAGGTTAATGTTTTCAGAACTTTCACACGGTTAGTTTTTAATGAGAACATACAAGTATAAACATACTTGTATGTTCTCAAAACATACTGAGCAGGGGCCGCATAGAAATGTGGATCGGGCCGGATATTGCCCCCGGGCCGCACTTTGCCCAGGTTTTGTCACGCATTATTTTTGGTCTAATTCACTTCGTGGAGACGTACAGTCATGGAGCTGCACATCCTGGAAACAGCTTTGTTGAGTTAAAGCTGTCTGTGTCTCTGGCCCTTTAAGGCACCGGGCAGCTCCCTGTGTCCGGGGCCACTGAATATTGGCTTGAGGGCCGGCCTCTGTCCACGGGCCTGAGTTTGGCATGCCTGGTCTGTAGGCTCAGACTGCTGTGTCTGGGACAGAGTGGGGCGATAGCAGGAGAGAGAGAGAGGGGGGAGAGGAGAGAGAGGGGGGAGAGAGAGAGAGGGGGAGAGAGAGAGAAGAGAGAGAGAAGAGAGAGAGAGAGAGAGAGAGAGAGAGAGAGAGAGAGAGAGAGAGAGATGAGAGAGAGAGAGAGAGAGAGAGAGAGAGGAGAGAGAGAGAGAGAGAGAGAGAAGAGAGAGAGAGGAGAGAGAGAGAAGAGAGAGAGAGAGAGAGAGAGAGAGAGAGAGAGAGAGAGAGGGAGAGAGAGAGAGAGAGAGGGGAGAGAGAGAGAGAGAGAGAGGAGAGAGAGAGGAGAGAGAGGAGAGAGAGAGGGAGAGAGAGAGAGGGGGAGAGAGAGAGGGAGAGAGAGAGAAGAGAGAGGGGAGAGGAGAGAGAGAGAGAGAGGAGAGAGAGAGAGGAGGAGAGAGAGAGGGGAGAGAGAGGAGAGAGAGAGGGGAGAGAGAGAGAGAGGAGAGAGAGGGGAGAGAGAGAGAGAGAGAGAGAGCGAGAGAGAGAGAGAGAGAGAGAGAGGAGAGAGAGAGGGAGGGAGAGAGAGGGAGAGAGAGAAGGGAGAGAGGGGAGAGAGAGGGGAGAGAGAGAGAGGAGAGAGAGAGAGGGGAGGAGAGGGTGGAGAGAGGGGGAGAGAGAGAGGGGAGAGAGGGGAGAGAGAGAGGGGAGAGGGGGGAGAGAGGAGGAGAGAGAGAGGAGAGAGGAGAGAGAGAGGGGGGGAGAGAGAGGGGAGAGAGGAGAGAGAGGGGGAGAGAGGAGAGAGAGGGGGGAGAGAGAGGGGAGAGAGGAGGAGAGAGGGGGAGAGAGGAGGAGAGAGAGGGGGGAGAGAGAGGGGAGGGGGGAGAGAGTAGAGTTGGCATGTGATGGATTACTCTGACATCTGCCTCTTTCAGCCTCACAGTCGTTGCCTGAACAACCCGGACGCAGCCTCAGAAATGCTGGCGTTTCGCTGAGAGGCCTTTAACTAAATGGTAACGATCACATTTGAGGCTGTTTATTTTGTGGCAGCAGCGCTGGGGGATGTGGGAGCACAGAGCTTTACAAAAAGAAGAGGATGAAGTAAAAAAGGATTTGAGTTAGACCAATAGAAGAGGTTTAACTCCCAGGACCGGGCTCTGTGTCAGTGCCGCTCTCAGAGGCAGCTGGCCAAACATTCACCCGGCCCCAAGTCACATCACAATCATTTACTTTGCCTTTTGCAATAAAACCACAAAAATAAAATACATACAGAAGTCCCCAGAGAGCACCAGACCAAAACAACAAGCTCAGAAGTACAAGAAACTATTGATGGATTAACAAAAACAGTTTCAGTACAAATGAAGATCATTAAAGTGCTTTGTTCAGACTGAGATCAGCTGAGAGAAGCTGTTAGCATGTTAGCATGTTAGCATGTCCATATGTCCTGCATCCAACAATATATTCTGCCAGAGGGAAGAAGCTGGAACATGGCTTTTCCAGGAGCCAGAAGAGTCACTGATTATTCTAAGATCTGGATTTAAGTCTGGATTCATAAAGAACGTCCAAAACAGTCCTCTCTCAGAGCAGAGCACCCCTCTCTGGTCTCTTTCCAGTCTCTCTCTGGTCTCTTTCCGGTCTCTCTCTGGTCTCTCTCACAGGTCTCTCTCTGATCTCACTCTGGTCTCTCTCTGGTCTCTTTCTGGTCTCTCTCACAGGTCTCTTTCTGGTCTCTCTCACAGGTCTCTCTCTGGTCTCTCTCACAGGTCTCTTTCTGATCTCACTCTGGTCACCTGCGGACAGCCCTGCCCGACCCGCCTGGGACTGCCTCAGTACTGCACCAGACCAGGTCCACGCTCTGCAGCCGCTGCGTGGACCTGGTCCTCGTTCTGTAGCTTAGGTCCTGGATCTACAGCCTCAGTCCTCGTTCTACAGTCTGAGTCCTGGATCTACAGCCTCAGTCCTCGTTCTACAGTCTGAGTCCTGGATCTGTGTGACATTTATCAACATGTATGACATTCATCACATGTGTGACATTTATCACATGTATGACATTCATCACATGTGTGACATTTATCACATGTATGACATTTATCACATGTATGACATTTATCACATGTATGACATTTATCACATGTATGACATTTATCACATGTGTGACATTTATCACATGTATGACATTTATCACATGTGTGACATTTATCACATGTATGACATTTATCAACATGTATGACATTTATCACATGTATGACATTTATCACATGTATGACATTTATCACATGTGTGACATTTATCACATGTATGACATTTATCACATGTATGACATTTATCACATGTATGACATTTATCAACATGTATGACATTTATCACATGTATGACATTTATCAACATGTATGACATTTATCACCTGTGTGACATTTATCACATGTATGACATTTATCACATGTATGACATTTATCAACATGTATGACATTTATCACATGTATGACATTTATCAACATGTATGACATTTATCAACATGTATGACATTTATCACATGTATGACATTTATCACATGTATGACATTTATCACATGTATGACATTTATCACATGTATGACATTTATCACATGTATGACATTTATCACATGTGTGACATTTATCAACATGTATGACATTTATCACATGTATGACATTTATCAACATGTATGACATTTATCACATGTGTGACATTTATCACATGTATGACATTTATCACATGTATGACATTTATCACATGTATGACATTTATCACATGTATGACATTTATCAACATGTATGACATTGGTCTCTCCCTATGGTCCAATTCATGTATATTTTGTGTGTTAACTGTTGATTCTCTGATCTGTGGTGATTTCAATGGTTTTGTTCAGTCTCTGAGATGATGCTGTTGTGATTTAGGGAAATACAAGAATACTTTGTATTGTGTTGGTCTCTCTCTGGTCTCGCTCTGGTCTCGCTCTGGTCTCTCTGGTCTCTCTCTGGTCTCTCTCTGGTCTCGCTCTGGTCTCGCTCTGGTCTCTCTGGTCTCTCTCTGGTCTCGCTCTGGTCTCTCTGGTCTCTCTCTGGTCTCTCTCTGGTCTCTCTCTGGTCTCTCTCTGGTCTCTCTCTGGTCTCTCTCTGGTCTCTCTCTGGTCTCTCTCTGGTCTCTCTCTGGTCTCTCTCTGGTCTCTCTCTGGTCTGATAAAAACAGGTTAAACTCGACATTTAGCATATAACCCTAATATCGATTCATAAACAGAATAACTGTATGTAAGTA